AGACAGACAGACAGACAGACAGACAGACAGACAGACAGACAGACAGACAGACAGAGATGAGGGAGAGAGAGAGAGAATTATCGAGAGAGGGGGAGAAGAGTTGATGTCATAATATGGTATGCGTGAGTATGGGTAAAGTAATTAAATAATCTATTTACTTACGAAAAAGGTTTAAATACATGTCATTATTAAATCTACTTAGTTGATCTATTATACAGACTTGGATTCTTATTAACAATAACCAATCATGTTTGAATTGATGGTCAAATATCAGATCTGATAAACAACGTATAATGATATAATGGCGGGTTTCACTACAGTCCACTGGCAAACGATTTGGAGTAAACAAAAGAGGAAGGCTTGGCCTAGGCTATGCGAGTCCAAAAAGAATCTGTTATTTAGGTCTAACTGTAATGTTATAGGCCTAGGACGATCTTTGGCGAGTCAAGTGTTTTGTGTTCGATTCCGATCGCAGTAATAGAAAAAACTGTTGTTCGAGTACGCGAGTCAAAGCGAAGTTGTCAGAAAAAAAGGTTACCTCAAAAAAATTACTCGAGACTAGAACCTACACAATTCGTTTTTATTTCTCATAATCTGAGTATACATTGCATGCTTTGGGGTACATCTAGATTACATTACCATATTAATTTCACATTAAACAATATCTTTTTTTTTTCTTACTTTTGACGTTTAGGCTTGGCAAATGTTTTCCCCATCAACAGCAACAAACTTTACCGATGAAGAAATCACGCTATTAAATAAAGCTGGCTGCTCTTTGCTTATATGTAGTACATATTATTATTTTCTAATATTATGAATGCAGCATAAAGGAGAAATTAGCTTTGATTTTTATAATATGTAGTAGGATTTTTGCTTGGGCTCGAGATTCTCGAGATGTAGGCCCTCCGCCTTGCACGTATTGAAAACAACTCGACTCGAACAAATTCCTCGACTACCTTGATTAATGCTCTCGACTACTCTTCAATGTTGGTTGCGACTACTGTACTCGTACTTGTCACTTGTCGCATCGGGCGAAGTCTGACCGAAGACCGAAGCCGCCGAGCAGGGCCAGGGCCAGGGAGATTTCTTTTCCTGTGTGAACTGATTTCATTTCAGAAGTGTTTGATTTTGAGTAACTAATCATAATGGCAGGCAGCGCAACTGCAGCGGACGGTGTTGTGGAGCCAGGGAATGAAAGTTCTTTCACCAATGAAAATGGATGCAAAATTTATTGTAAATATTGGTGTGCCGACATGCAGAATCCCAAGTAAGTTTTCTTTTCATGTTCTCTGGCACTGTCTCTTATTTCTTCTCCATGATTTATCGGAGTGTCTACGTACACGGTAACCGGGCACCTGTCTCACCTAGACTTAGTATCTATCTACGTACGGTAACCGGGCACCTAGTCTCAGTATCTACGAACACGGTATAAATTTTGTCCTGTGCTGTCACTTGCTGAAAAAAATAAGAAAGTCGTACACAAGCGTCTTGTCGGCTGTCGGGCTCGCCATTGTGACCAGTCAGTGAACCTTCACGTGTGCATCACATTGTGAGTAGGCTACCGGTTGGGGTTCATTCAAAGACGTCAAAGTCTTTGCGCTGCGAAGTATAGGGCTCCGGAATGGGGGGGATTATTACTGATTGTTTTAAAGATACAGTACCTCCTACGTGACACTGAGACTATGCCCGGTTGCCGGTTACCGTGTAGGCCACATAGATATTGAGGCTACATGCCCGGTTACCGTGTACATGACACTGAGACTACGTGCCCGGTTGCCGGTTACCATGTACATGATAGATATTGAGGCTACATGCCCGGTTACCATCATATGTACATGACACTGAGACTACGTGCCCGGTTACCGTGTACGTAGATATTGAGTCTACTTGCCCGGTTACCGTGTACATGACACTGAGACTAGGCTACGTGCCCGGTTGCCGGTTACCGTGTGCGTAGACACTGAGGCTAGGTGCAAGGTTACCGTGTACGTGGACACTCCGATAATTTATTAATGGAAGAGGCTAGCCGTACTTAATAACGGCTAGCCTGGCACGGCTAGACTGGTTGGCTAGCCGTACTTTCTTGTTAAGGGCTAGACTGGCAGTCTAGCTGTACTTATTCTAAATATGATGGCTAGACTGACCGTAAAAAAAAAAATAGGCCTACTGAATTGTAAATATACATTTTTAGTGTGCAGTACCTAAAGTATTTGTATTTCTTGAGACGAAACCAGGTGCCTTTTAAATAAAATGACAGTGCATGTATTTTAAACCTCCTGTTTTCTAATGTTAATAGGGCCTAAGATAAGTACGGCTAGACTGGCAGTCTAGCCGTACTTAAGTACGGGTAGGCAGCCAGGCTAGCCGTACTAAAGGACGTGTAGACAGCCAGGCTAGCAGTACTTAAAGACGGCTAGACTGTCAGGCTAGCCGTACTTAATATTGATGGCTGAACACGGTCCTTTCTTAACGAAACTGTTCTTGAAAAAAGGTAAAAGAAACAAATGACAGCCCGCAGAAACTGTTGTTAGAAAGGGCTCGTTCTCTGCCAGCCTAGACAATGGGGGGGAAAGTTCATGACACACTTTCCCAACAGACCCCGTAACCAAAACACGCTTCATGGGCCCACGTTTTAGGAATGCCTTGCTTTCTGAATCTTATCTGATTATCTCATTTATTAGAAGTTATACATTTATGGAGGGAAATAGTTGGGGGGTGGGAGTGGGTGGGGCTCTTTAAAAGCCCTTTAAATAGCCCTTCACTACGCCCTGCCACTGCATTCATCTTGCCATTAGTAAAATAGTTGTTAGTCCTGATTATAATGAAAACTGCTCAGGCTCAATCAAGCTTTCTTCTTCTTGCAAGATAAATAGTAGATATTGCTGTCATGCATTTTTTTATTTTATTTGGGGAGGAAGGGGAAATTGCTTGGATCTAAGTTCCAATTTAAATGGATGGGTTCAAAAGTAGACAAGGACAGATTAAAAAAAAAAAAGAAACTTGTAAGTTGGAGTTTGTGGAACTATTTCAATACGAAGTGTAAACAGACCCGGTAACTGGGTACAAAGTCACAAAGTATACAGACCCGGTTGGGAGAGAGACAGTGTGTGTAGTGTGTGTGTGTGAGAGAGAGAGAGAGAGAGAGAGAGAGAGAGAGAGAGAGAGAGAGAGAGAGGGGGGGGGGAGGGGGGAGAGAACAGGGCGAAGTGCTAGCAAATATCACATGCCCCAGTTGACCGAAGGGAATGAGAGAAAGATGGAGTGGGAAAGTGGGTGGGGGAGAAAGAAAGACAAAGACAAACAAAGAGAAGGCATGCAATACACAGATTAGGAGAGAGAGATGGAAAGAGACAGAGAAATAGAGAGCATGACTGCTCGTTGGAAATTATGACATTGTAATTGTTCTTTTCTTCAAATTGTCTTATATTGATTCCTGGACTCCAACTCCTAAACCGAGGAAAAACGACCGTTCAATGAAAAGACATTCGCAGTCTTCATTTAGATCCAGGCCTCGAAACTAGAGCTATGATTTATGTCTGTCTGTCTAGATCTCGACCTAGGCCATAGATCTAGAAGAACCTTTGTCTTCCCTGAGCCAAGAGGGCGCTGTAACTTTCTGAAATCACTAAAGATTTCCCCTACCAGGTCTATACTTCGTGACTTTGTTCCTGGTTACCGGGTCTGATACACTCCCATTAAACAAATTTTAATGTTCAATGCTTGGACGTACTACTACTTTCACAGTCCCTTGAAATTGAAATCTTATATAATATTTCTTGACTCTATATATGTCTGCCCCGCTCAATATCAGTCGTAAGACGCAGTGTGCTATTATTAGCTACGAGGCTCGAAAAGCAACAAAGTGAGTTTCCATGAAATTTTTGTATTTTTGGATATATTGAAAGTTTGATGTCTTCTGCTTCATTTAAGATAAAAATAAACAACTGTGATTGACTATAAGTATTTTATTTTGATTTATTTTGGAGGTGTGTGTGTGGTTTGTTGTGAGCTTGGGTGACGAGATAATGGAATTTGGACCTTGCTAGTATGTAGCTGGGAGATTATTTTTTAAACTATTACCTCATGTCCACCTTTGCTTCAACCAAAGATTCTCCACTAGTAGAAAATCTTTGCTCCAACATTCTTCATTCGCAACTATTTTTAGATTTTAACCTCTTTTCAAGCGTGAATGGTCTGAAATGTAAACAACTCTGATTGGTAAAACGGAGTAAAAACAGTAACTTCTAGTTCACTTCAAGCTTGTTTTACGTAAACAGTTGACTGTGTGGGTGAGCCCTGCTAGCTGCTATCGTCTGTTGATCTTTCAGTTTTGCACTTGAATTGATTTCAAAAATTCGTTTTTATTGTGTAATAGTGCTTTTAAAAGATTATTTATTTAACCTTCCTCTAGATCTCTCGGACCTTGGTCTATGTGTGTGTATGTGTGCTGGTGTGTTTGTATGTGTGTATATGTGTGTGTGTGTGTGTGTGTGTGTGTGTGTGTGTGTGTGTGTGCTCTTGTGTGTTTATAGTGCTATTGCAAACGTATAATCAGGTAGCGCTTACACGGTACGTAAGCCGACTCGCGGCCTTCCGAGCGCTTGGTTTCAATGAAATGAGGGTAATTCAGATCTCCGTTTCTTTGCTCTTTGGCTATAAAACACCAAATGCTGAACACTTTGAAAAAGTTCAGATTTTATTCGTTATAATAGTGTAAGTTGTTTGTATCGGGTATTTGGAGCTGGAAACGGACGGAATGCGAGGTACCCCTGTTCAAAATTGACACCCATGCATTCGAATGCTTCATTTAAGATAAAAATAAACAAAGTCTATGATTGACTATAAGTATTTTATTTTGATCCATAATCAAGAAATTGAACATTGTTTTGTTGCAGACAGAGTCCATAGTGAAATGGAGTGCTTGCACTTCATGCTGGAAAATGGTACTTTGTCTTTGGTGGGGATAGAAATCCACATGTGATTCAGCGTGTTGGATAGAATTCCAAGAAAGGGAATCTTTGTTTTGTCTCTGGTGCAAATGTCTGTAAGTTGCGTGAGCCCTTTCAGCTCAAAGATGTTTAGAGGGTGGTTAATGGGTGATCTGGTGAGGTTTGCTCCTTCTTTCCTATCAAACATCTACTGTCCTTATCTCTCCTCCTTTTTTGTGTATGTTACTCTCTTGTAACACATCTATTCTTCGGCATTTACATGACATTGAGTTTCAAGTGCCGAAAAAATATTACTAAAACTAAAAAGATATTTAGCTTTTCTGTGGCTCATCTCACCCTCTCTGTGTTTTGTTCCTCTGTTTGCAAAGTATGTGGTATTCAACGGCCATACACCTACTTCATCAGTTTTCACTGTATGAATAATATTTTGCATCGTCCAAAATGAAATTCTTGACATGTCACCAGGTTTCAAGTATATATGAGAGATGTTGCACTATATGGTGCTGGATGACATGAGACAGTTTTTTTGTTTCTTTTTCTTAGGGGAATTCTGGCCACCAGAGCGTGAGCCATCAATTTTAGTACTGTTTCCTCCTTTAGTTAATTCTCTTATCCTATGACAGACTGTGTGTGATATGAGGTTTCCATATGATGTATAGTATTTTGGATCTTCAAAACCAATTTCCTTTTAGATGTGTCACCAAGTTTCCTTTCCCAATAGATAGAGCTATGGGAATCTTGCACAATATGGTGCTGGATAGATAGTTTCCTGTACAGGGAATTTAGGCCACCAGAGAGTACCAAAATTGGTGTGTCTGTTATCCAGTACCGTACTGCACAAGATTTTGTACAATTTGATACCAATTGATTTATTACCATCACAATGTATAGTTTAGCATAATTTGTCTTTTATGTACATTTGATTAATTCCTAAAACTAACAGAGCTTTGATTGAAGGGAGTTGTGTGTTAAGTAACATCAACAACTTGGCACGGCACATAAAATGTCTTTTCTGAGACATGGTTTAAACTTTTAAAACTGAAAAAAAATTTAGCCATGACATTGATCTCTCAACTTAGGATACAGGATGTTATCTGTAAATGCAGTGACAAGTGTCCTTGGTTGCAGCGACAAAGTGTCCTTGGTTGCAGCGACAAAGTGTCCTTGGATGCAATGACAAGCATCCTTGAATGGTCAACACAATTTGACTTGCCAGCCCCGGTACTACTGCCCCTCCCCACCCCTCCCTCCCTCGCACAAGCACACACGCCCAACTCTTCTTTCACAATCACTTTGCCCTCTACTTCAAAATTGAATGACCCCAAGTGTTAACACCTGAATACTGTTAGATTGTGCACCTGTTACCTATACTTCCCTTGCTCTGTAGTTTCTTTTACTGTAACTTAACCTCCATAATATATTTGTCCTGATTCTCTTAGTCCTTTATCTCATTAGGCTGAGATGTGATATATAAGGTTTCTGCTTAAACTTGACTAAAGCTATCTCAGCTATCTTATTTATGTTCTTTTTAATTTGATCTCCTTTCCACCAAAAAGCATAAGAGTACAAGTAACAAAATTTTAGTATTTTGTATTATTTTCTAAACTGTTCAAACTAATTCAGCTCATTTTATTTTCAAAAAGATTACAGAATATAACCTTGACTAACAAGAATGTAACATTAGAACCTGCTACTGACCGACTATATACTTTGAGTCGTTTGAACACAATGAAAATCACAATGTGTAAGGAATATTGGTGCAAGAAAATAGCACTTGTATCACCTTGCTAAAAGACCAACTGCAGATGATATGGCACTTCTGTCGCACACCCAGGAACAGATGCAAGCAAAAACCTCAGTTTTGAACATCCTATCAAAGTCTGTTGGATTAAAGATCCACCCTGGAATTTCAAAAGTCCTAAGGATAGATACACAACGAAAGGAGCAGGTCACAGTGGAAGGAAATGCTCTAGACGACGTTGATTCCTTCTGCTATCTTGGGAGTATAATTGACAGAGAGGGAGGAACAGGTGTTGAAATAAAACCCTGCACTGGAAAGGCTGGGGCTGCTTTCATATCTTTGAATAGGATTTGAAGGACCTGGGATATCTCACTAACAACAAAGCTGAAGATTTTCATCTTTGATGTGAAGTTAGTCCTGTTGTATGGATGTGAGACATGGAATGCATATCAGACATGCATAAAGAGGGCCAGGCTTTCTTAAACAAGTATCTAAGGAAGTTATTGAGGATCAGATGGACAGACAAGGAAGTGTTTAGGAAAACAAGACAGAGACTGGTCAGAGATAAGGAGGGAAGAAGGCAGTGGCGATTTGACATACTCTCAGGGAGTCAGGCAACTGCATGTCATGGATACTGTTAGATTGGAACCCACAGGATAGAGACCAAGGTGAAGACCACATGGAACCTGGAGAAAAAGTAACAGAAATCAATGTGCAGAAAAGTGGGAAGACATGGAATAACATCAAGAGGCTAGCTCTTGATAAGGAAAGGTAGAAAGTGTTTGTTCGTGGCCTATAGCCTTAGGGTGAGAAAGGCAATGATGACGACTCTAATGTTGATTTTTATTGGGCTTTTTTTTTCAGAGCATTGGTCTTTTTAGTTCATGGAGCTGGCGAGCACTGCTTGTGTTATGGGGAACTGGCTGAGATTTTGAAAAACCAGGGCCTATATGTCTTCTCTCATGATCACCGTGAGTTGTGTCTCGTTCTCGAAACTTTCCGATTTAGATATCAGAATTCTGACTCAGTGTAGTGAAGAGATGCTGCTGGTGAATTATTCTTTTTTCCATCTGCTTGCAAAGTAACAAGCCTTGTCTTCCGAATTTAGATATTTGCATTGAAGCATGAAGTAGGGTGGCTTTTTATTGGCAGTGTAAAAGAAATCTCCAACAGCAGCTTTTATGAGGCAGTAGAGTAGAAGGCGCTGACACAAAAGTCAAGAGAAATTTTTAATGTTTAAGTGTTTTTACTTTGCTTAGTCAATAGCAGTTTTATGCACAACAAGCAAGTATAGTAGTAATAGTATGCAATTGTAGTAATATTTATAGTTTGATATATAACAGAGCTTCAGAAAAGCTTTCAAAGACATTTTCAATTGATGTTTCATGCCAAAAATGTAATAAGAAAATAATTTGATCATTTAAAAGCAAATGCTAAAACTGTTCAAATGTAGGGGCCTTGGAGAACACAGTTTGTGATACATTAGACAAGAGCATTTTTGTTTCTGTTTAGTTTGCTATCAACTTGCCTGTGTTGCTGTGGTGTAGATGATTTCATAATTGGCTATGACACAATAACTATCTCATCTGTTTGGAATTTTTATGTATTTGAAAATCTTATGACAAGGGACCAAATGTTAATGTTTCCTATTTGAAACAACATACTTAATCTAGCACAAAGGTAAATTTGACTACTTTTTTTTTTTAAAAGTAAGAGTCAACGTTTATCTCAATCTGGATTTTGTGATGGAGTGCAGAAATTATTTCCACTTCTCAAGGCTTTTGTTAAAAGAAAATGTCATGCGTGTGTTCCTAATGGCCTTGGTTTGTGTGTCGTGAGCTGGGGGAGATGTGTAGAGACTAGTGCTGTACTACACTATCATGACACATTTTTGCTCTCTGGCTTATTGTGTTTTTACATTACATTTGTATGAGTTACAATTTTATTTATTATGAGATGTAGTTAATAGTAGCTTTTAATGTCATTTTAGAATTTTAAAACTAAAAACCAGTTTAGCTGTTGGCTTTCAAGCTTCCTTCATATCTTTTCAGGTTTTAACACTTTGGAAGTTGGCATAATGTCTTTAACTTTAAACATTATTTTGTTTTTATGTGCTAGAGGGCCACGGACAGAGTGGAGGGTCACGTATGCACATCACAGACTTCAGGCACTATGTACGAGATGTCTTTCAGCATGTTGAGGTGGTGCAGAAGCGCTTCCCTGGTGTACCTGTATATGTGCTAGGACATTCCATGGTGAGTCTAGATTCATTTTCTCAGTTCAAAGGGTGTCTGTAATATAATGGATCCTCTTTATCGTTCGGCTTTATCGAGTGTCTCCTTCTGTCCACAGGGATGTTGTATCCCTCTCAGCCAGGGTTGTCCCTGAAAGGTGAGGCTGGTGTAGCCTGCCTCCCAAAAGGTTACTCAAGCTGAGGCGCTTCTATTATTTGTATATTAAAATGAAGACTATGATCGCAGAACATGTTGCATCTTAATATGAATGATACGGGAGAAAGACATATAAGAAAAATTAAATCAAAGTTTACTCTATCTCCTTATCTTTAAAGACTAGTCTTGGACATATGAGGCCCATAGAGCCAGGGCCTGTCACAGTTTTCATAGGAGCTGCTGTTTGGGTCTCCACAGATGGTAATGGTAGTGTCAGTTCCTTTTTGGCAAAAAAATTGATTGTCAGAATAGTAAAAGACTAACATCTTAGACACTGATCATTTTATATTATTGATCCACACTTCTGCATTTTTAAAACTGATGTTGTTACAACTCTTTTTGAAGAGTGGACTACTCTTTAACTAAATTCTGTCTAACAATACCTCAGGTAGTGAGTCATCTTTGCTTTCCTTCTCTTCTTTCCACAGGGTGGAGCTGTTTCTTTAGTGGCAGTCCTTGACAGACCAGATTTTTTTGCTGGCATGATTCTCATTGGCCCTGTTGTTACCCCAGAGCAAGATACTGTTGGACCTGTCAGGGTAAACTGTTTTTATGTTAAAAGTAAAAGGATTGTTTTCAAGTTTTTAACGCTCTTCCATTTCACTCTGTCGGGACCACAAAACTTTGTAAATTTAATTATAATTACACTTTGAAATTTCTTTTTAAAGCTCCGCTCATTGAGCTGAACACACTGGCTTGCTCTACTCGTCTCTCAGTCTCTGTCTTAGTTAGTGTTGCTCTTTCTCAGAGTTGAAGCAATCGAAATGACAATGAATGCTCTTTAATTCATTTTTATTTTCTCTTTGTTTTTTTTTACTCACACTATTTCTCTCACTGCAATATAACTCTTTTTTTATTTTTTAAGGAGATCACAAATTTCTCGTTGGTGGTTGGCGGGTGCTCTGGTGTGGTTAGCTTCTTCTTTCCTATCAAACATCTATCGTCCTTGTCTCCCGTCCTTCTTTTTTTATGTTTGTTACTCTCTTGTAACACCTCTAATCTTCTGGCGCTCATATGATCTTTTGCAGTTGCGAGCGCTGTAAAACTCTACTAAAACAAACAAAAAACAAATTTTTCTTATTATGTTTTTGAAATTCTTTCTCTATTGTAGTTTTGTACGCTTGTTTTAAATAGGCAGTCTTTATTTTAATTTTAAAACAAATTTTAGATATCAAGTACATTTGTGTCACGACGCGGTAGAATCAGTCGCTAGTCAGATTTTGGGCATCTAGAGTTACTGGCATCATCTTAAAGATTGTTCATTTAACCATCTTTGGAAGAAAAAAAATGCACGCCTGTCCTGAATAAAAGTCAAGATATTTGCGATTGAAGGAGGTCGGGGGTTGCCTGGTTTCAGAGGTAAAATTAGTGAGGAAATGGCTGCCAAAGTTCGGTGATTTCCAAAGCTTGACTGTCCTTAAAAACTGAAAATTTACATTTGTTGTGCCTTTAATCAATGTTTTTCAGTATAATCCACACAAAAATATGTTCTTAAGTAGATATAAAATGTGTTGAGCCAATAAGCAAAAATTAGAAAAGAATTGTCAAACTGGAGGGAAAATGCCGATATCTTCGATTTCATTATTTTGACGAGCGCCTGATTTCACTGCGCTGCTTCACATTTTATTCCTATTATTACTTCTGAAGGCTGTCTGTTCTTCCATAATTAGATCTTTCTGCTCTTTTGTTACTCATGACTTATTATGTGGATAGTACATAAGGGTTTAAATTGTTGTAACATTGACTTGGCAATACTTAATGTATGGCAAATGGTTTCAGTTAGTTTGTCAAAATCCTTGGTAGTGTCTTTAAACATATCCCAGTCTGTGAAGTGGAAGCATCCTTGTAGCCATTTGATCATGTCGCCTGTTCATGTTGGTATTATTCTTGTCCTAATCTGGAGTTTAGAGAGTGTTTACTTTTTGCACATGCATAATATTCTTTCTGTATAATAATGGACATGTTTATCATTATCAGAAAACATTCATCCTATATAGTTTCTCCTTTGTTCCTACGTGCAATCTTGAGTTAAGTTGAAAGGCTTTAAGGACAAAGAAACCCATTCCTGAGCTGAAGTATTACAAAATCTCATACTGAAAACTGTCTTTCAGAAACATTTTCCATAGACCAAAGTGTCAAGGCAATTTCAGTATCAAAGCAGTTTTATTTGTAAGGTTGTATCCCACGACAGTGGATTTGTGTATGTATATTATAATTGGCACTGAACTGTCATTTCCAAAAGGCAGAAGAAATTATCCTGAAGTTCACTTTTACTTTTACTTTGTTTTACTTTTCTGATCCAGCGACCATCTGAGTTCTAGCCCTTCAGCCTGTCGATATGTCAAAGAATTTACAGGTTTTTATCAGCTGTTTTTTCGCTGTATTAAGTATTTCTGATATCTGGGGAGGCAGGTAGGTAGGTGCTACGCAGGTCGCTAAGTGCGTGGCAGGAAGAGAGATGGTGTGGAGTGTAATACTGTTTCATCCTGGCAGTTACACAGCGGGCAGTCTAGTGGGGTACCCTTGCGGATCCTATTTAAGTAGCAATTCAATGGGATGTGTTTTGTTCGCAGGCAAAAGATGGTGACTTGTTCTCTTCTACTCAGGGAATTTAGTGCATCTTTCGCGTTGGGAGCAGTCATGTGTGCAAATACTGCTCTTCCAGTTTTGCTCAAAGCCCATCCATTCAGCCACTGTTCCCTGGTACTGCATTTGATGATGTTCTTGACTGTCTGTTGTGATACTGGGTTTTCAGGTTGTGTTGTGAAGTACACAGTTATGTTTTAGATGTCTGTGGAGGAGAAAAGGAACACTGTTCATAACTGCGCAGTTTTGAGTAGCACGACTTCCTTCATTAGAAAAAGGTCAGGATCAGGTTCTCTCTCTCTCTCTCTCTCCTTCTCTCTCTCTCTCTCTCTCTCTCTCTCTCTCTCTCTCTCTCTCTCTCTCTCACTCACTCACTCTCTCACTTTGTATTCTCCTTATTCATCAGATTTTCTTTGGCAAACTTATGGCAAGAATTTTTCCCCACTTTCCTGTACTTCAAATATCTGATGAGGAAATATCAAGAGACAAGGCAATTGTAAGTATGAACTAAAATATGAAGGTATTTCATTTTACCAGGTCTACACATGTGATGCCATCAAGTCTCATAGAATATTAAGGTACCTTTCTTCACCCCAATAGTTACGCTGGAGTCTGTAAATTTGTTCTTTTGGTTCTTTCGATGGCTCAACTAAGTAACTCGTGACCTGGTCATGTGACTCATCTCTAAAGACAATCTTACCCTAAACTTTCCCGGGTGTCTATGATGTAGCAGATAGGTGCTTTGCTGTGGCCAGCAGGAGATCCGAGTTTGATTTCCAAGTGGGGAGAACATTTTAAGGGTATGTTGGTCATTCTACTAGGATGTTGTATCCCTCTCAGCGCATGTTGGCAGGCAGGATTGTAAGCCGCCCCTCTAAATGAGCTAAGTTGTGACTATGGGTGTGTAAAAACACTCACATAAAAGAAAAAAAATTCTTTAAAAAATAATTGACAGTAACATCAGACATATTTGAAAGTACAGTCGAACCTGTGTAAGACGGAATCGCAAGGGAGCCAGAAAAAAATGTCGTCCTAGACAGGGAAATTTAGGGGGAGATGGAAGGGGGGGGGGGGGGGATGTCAGAGGCCCAGCCGATGGGATCAAAGGTCGCTTATCCGATCTGCAAGCAGTGGTCAGAACTTCACACCTCTCAACTGCTATCCTGTCTGATAATGACATGCGCCAATCTTACTTATCCGATTACCACCAGTGCTTGTCTTTCATAGGACCACTGTTTGATCTATTAAAAACAGAAACGCTTGAACATCTCCTTTGCTTTGACCCTTAGCCCCACCCATTGGTGTAACAAGCACAGTCAACCAATGCCATCCCTCACTGCCATCATGTAACAACAATTCGAGGAACTATTATCACTGCTGGCGTATGATCAGGGCGGCAGGCATTGGTCAAACTAATTTCACACCTCTGGCTTCTGGCTACCCTGGAAAGTTTCCATAGTGGCTCGCTACTCGAGCACTCTCACGGGCAGTCGTGAGATTTCACACCCACACACTGTCTGCATCGCTCAGGGCTCACTTGATGGGATAATAGGGTAACATCTACCCCCTAATTGCACCCGTACTCCCCTTCCTCACCCAGCTGCATGGCTATGGTGTTAGATTTATAGCTGGCGGAACCAAACTTGCGAGTTTTGTTTCAAATCAGAGCTGAGCGGGCAAAGCATTTTCCGTCTTACACAGGTGAAACCCTCGGAAGGGAGCGGATTTTTCTTTCCGTTTCCACGTTGGACAGGTTTCCGTTTTATACAGTTAATTAAAGAGGAATTTATCAAGGGGGGAGCGGGGAGATTCCGTTAGACAGGTTTCCGTTTTATGCAGGTTTCCATTAAAGCAGGTTCGACTGTATGTGAAAAGACATGTAGGAAAAGTGAGGCATAGAGACTATGGATGATGCTGTATTTTCTCGCTTGTTATATAATTTTAAAAAAAAAAACCCACTTTAACTGATCCCTGCAGAAAGTTGACTAATTTAGTGTAAATGTAAACATTGTCATCATTCAGTGAGAAGAATACAAAGTAAATTACAGTCAATTGAAATACTAAAACCCATCTGGTGGTTGCGAAAATGCAGGGGTCTTTTTTTTCGTTCAAGTGTGTCTTGAACAAGGATACCCCCAAGTGGCAACCATTTTCAGAACGTCATTCTATGTTTTTAAAAATTTAATTACATGAAAGGAAAAAAATCATGCTTGAGAGTGTGTCTAAATGGTTGATTGTTGTTATTAACTGTATCACCAGGTACAGAAATATAAGGATGACCCACTTGTTTACCATGGTTGGATGAAAGCCAAGTAAGTGTCTTTTTGCCAACCACTTCTTTCCTGTTCATTATATTTTTATGTGTACGTTTGTCTTGAGCTGTTAGCTGTTTATTGAACAAGCATAGCTGTGTTTTTATTATACAAGAACTAAACATTAAATAAAGGTATGCACATGCGAAGAAGAAGCACTGACACCTTGAAAGGGTAAACAGAAGTTTGGTATTCAAAGTAGGTCTCTCTTTGTCTCTTTCACCATGGTAATTGGTATAGGCCGTCAAGAGGGGATTTCCATTTGTCTCTGTTCTGGGCTATCCTCTCTACCTCCAGCCAAGTGTGCCCCATCTATCCAAGATCTGCCCCCTTAATCTCATTTCCAGATGGATTTTGGTCTTCCTCTCTTCCTCCCTCCTTTGGGATTCCATCTCAGGCTTTGCCTTGTCATATGGGCTGGCTCTTTAAGAGTGTGTCCAGTCTACCACCATCTTCTTTGGCTTTTCTTGGTCTCACTGTATATTGGTTGTTGTTTGATTTTCCTCCACAAGAGTAAATTTCTTATAGTATCTGGCATGTGAATTAAAGTAGGCCTCCTCATAGTAAAAAATAAAACAATACAATTGAATAGCCATGCTTCAATGGATAGGAGCAAACTGCTGTTTGTCTCCTTATCAAAGGTTTAGAACTCAGTATGCTTATAGCTTGAAAAGTGGGTGGTTGGCATGTGCTCTGGTGGAATTTGCTACTGCTTTTATTGTCCTTATCTCTCCTCCTTCTGTGCTTTGTATGTTACTCTTTTAAGTAACACCTCTAGTTTTCGACACTCATATGACCTATTTGTGCTGCAAGTGCAGCAAAACTCGTACTAAAATTAAACATATAGGTTTGAAAGTGCCCCACTTGCCTCCACTGCTGTTGGGTGTGGATCAAGTTGAGTTATGGGTGTGTACATTTTCCTATTGAACATTATACCTGCTTGCAACAGTTGTTGGTATTTAATGATTCAACGTTTTTTTGTTATCTGGAAACATGAAACTTTTATATGACATTAATATCATTAAATAGTTTGTTCTGAAATGGAGTCACTGCTCAGCACAGCTGTCTTGGTCTGAATGTAGATGGGAAATATACGAGCAAATGAACATCTGGCCCAGACTCTGCTTGTGCTGCATAAAACTGAAAAAAAAACTATGGGTCCCGAAAACTATCATATTTCAAGAGTTTATTGCTTAATTTTGAATACTGCAGGACAGTGACCTCTCTGACCTATGTATTGTCTCTGTTCTTCTGTCACTTTTTAAAGTACAGTATATTCAGTTTTTTACCATTTTACAGGAGAGACAAAAGAGCTGAATGTTGTCACCAAGAAACACCCTCTTTACAAACATTTTAAGTCAATATTTGTAAGAATGCAATTTTGATAATAACTTCCTATTACCTTTAAAGCAAATTTTATTTTCTTTGTAACAACATTCAATAGTAAGAATACTGTACTTTTCAAAATGGCGGCAGTGTTCTACTGGATCAATGGTGACAGGCATTAGTGTTGGTACTGGGAGCTGTCTAAAAATTTGTTTGAAAGTATTTTTTTCTATTTTTATATTAGTCCCTAAGCATGGCTATTCAATTGTATTGTTTTATTTTTTACTATGAGGAGGCCTACTTTAATTCACATGCCAGATACTATAAGAAATTTACTCTTGTGGAGGAAAATCAATTTTGCATTTAGATTGTCTATGACCTGTGGTTTGCAAGTACAGTCAAACCTGTGTTAGACGGCCACCCATTGTCAAGGAGAAAAGTGGCCGTATAAGACAGGTGGCCGTCTTAGGCAGGACTGATCAAGATGAAGAAAACAAAACCTTCCTTTCTGGGGTTGCCGCATTGTTGTTGTTGTTGTTGCTTTCGCGCTTTGGGGGG